ATACTTTTGTTGACTTAATTCATTATCAATCAATGGTGAGAAAGTATATGGTATCTTTTCAAATCCATCAGCTCCAAAAATTCTCTCTTTAAAACCATTTTTTATATTGAAAAATTGAGTTTGTTTCAGTCTTCTGAGGGGTTTTATTATTATATTGTCTTACTTAGCGGGCACAGCAATGCAGTTGCCACCTGTGCCATCCAGTGAACCATACAATACTCATTCTGTCCCAGTTCTCAATAGACCTATTTATAACTTGTTTTCTGACTACTACCTATCAAATATCCCAACTGATAACAGCCTTGTAAGGAAAGATAACCTGAGCTAGAGAATGGCAAAACAGTAATTATGGGGAATACCAGAAGTGATTCTTGACATGGCAGAAGCATTTCACAGACTTACATTTTCATAATTAGATTCGGCTTTTCAAGTAGACATAAATGACTATTGAATCTAAAATGTTTCCTTCCTCTTGACACCACACATCAAGGAAAAAGAGGGTTCAGAAAGTGTGATGATATATTTCATAAGACAGAAACTCAGGGTTTCGATTTTTTTTTTTTTAATATCCTAGAGTAAATGCATTGTTAAAGTCAATTTTTCTTATAACAAGTGCATTTTCCATTCAAACTCTAAGAAATCCTTTCATAATAATTGCTCCAACACTGTCCGAGCAGCTCCGCAGTCCAATGTGTTAAGCAGCATATCTGTCAACAGGAAAATGCCACTAATTCTGCCAGCTAGTGCTGAGTGACCTGAGTGAATATTTATGCATGCTTCAGTTTCTGCCACAATCATCACTTATATTGGTCCACAAAAGCCACAAAAGTAGAGAATGACTTGGCAAAAAGGTATCAACTTACATTGAAATCCAAGATTCAAATTATAAAACTTTTTTATCTAAGAATATCAGTAGATTGTATTGGAGAATTTAGTTCAACATGTCTAAACAACTAGATTAATATTGGTGGTGATTGTGTACCATGGATTCGGTTCCAACTCATAGCGACCCTGTCTAGAGTTTCTGAGACTATAAATCTTTATGGGTGCAGAAAGCCTCATCTTTCTCCTGCAGAACCACTTGTAATTTCAAACTGCTGACCTTGTGGTTAGCAGTCTGACTGGTAAAATGCTACCAGGAGAAAAAGAAGGAATCCTAGAAACCACCTGAAATCCAATCGTATATAAAAAGAGTTGACTAATAATCTTTATTGATGCAGAGGATTCAGTATAGCTACAATAATATAAATTGTTATAATTAAGCACCTATGATTTGGTTCCAACTCATCGTGACCCTGCATAGGTAGGTTTCTGGGGCTGTGAATCTTTGCAGGAACAGAAAGCCATATCTTTCTTCCATGAAGTGGCAGGTGGGCTGAAACCATAGTCCGTGTGGTTTACAGTCCAGTGCTTACCCTACAGAACCATTCTGCTCCCCACAATAATATATCAAAACACTAAACAATTGATAGTAAAAACAACAATTAAACACCAAAATAAAGCGATTTTAAAAATTAATCCCAAGAAATCTGCCACTGAGAGTTTCTCTGATCAATCAAATATTCTAAATATTCTTTGCCTTTGATTCTTAGGTAATAAACAAAATATTCCAAAAAATTAACACACACAAGCTATCCTGATTTACAGTCACAATTTGCAAAAAAAAAAAAAAGACTTAAGTCATGTTGAATTCGGTTGACTTATCAGAAGTCCTGATGTGGCACTGCAGTTTAATGCCTTGGACTGCAAGGTTGGCAGTTCAAAATCACCAGCCGTTCCTAAGAAACCCTATACAGGGTCACTATGAGTGCGAAGTGACTCAAGGGCACTTCACAATAACAATAACAACAATAAGCTCAAGATAATCAAAGACAACATGTTTATAAGAAAACTGATTTTCAAAACAAATACCATTTCCTTTGTGACATACAATTTATCTCACGTGGCTTGTCTAGCAAGACAGAGCATGACACTGAATAGCCAGGATCCCAGGTTCAATCCTAATAATAGTAATGATAATAGTGTGTACATACTGCAAAGAAACTTTGATATATATATAAACCTTACAAAAAAGCCCGGAGGTAAACAGGAGTGCACTATTATTCATTTTACAGATAACTCGCTATGGGTCTTAACTGACTCGACAGCACTTAACAACAACAACAAACTGGTTGTACACTGACTAGCAGTAGAGTTCATACTAGAAACAGGGCTTTGATCCCCAAACAGTATTCTTTCTGCCACTCTGCACCGCCACCATATATCTGGTCTCCCTTTCAGACCCAAAAACTCTGTCCACTTCTAAACCCATCAATCACATTGAGGTCACTGGTCCAAAAGAGCTGAATAAGGTTTGCAGCTAAATTAAAGCAAAAACAAAAACAAAACCCATTATCCTGGACTCAATTCCAACTCACAGCAACCTTAGAGGACAGAATATTACTGCCCCCAAATGTTTCCAAGGCTGTTAATCTTTTAATAACCAGACTGTCTCATCCTTCTGTAGAGCACTAGTAGGTTCAAGCAGCCAAGTACTTAAGCACTGCACCACCAGAGAGTCTAAATTCAGGCAAAGTCACTCCTAAATTAATCATAATCCTACATCAACACTACTTCTACCATCCTCATGAGGAATGGTTCACCAGTTTTCTGCATGTTAGAATCATTGGGATAATTAAAATACCTCAATATTCAGGTTGGTCCCAAGTCCATTAAATCAGAAACTCTGGTAGTAGAATCCTGGCATGAGTATTTCATGTTCCTGGCAACTCCAAGTATGAGAACCAGTGTCCCATGGTAGATACATAATAAAGACTTAGTGAAATAAATGTAAGGACATATTTTAATAAACTGAATCATATGCTGCATGACAATGTAGGAAGGATACAATTGTCTCTATGTTTCAAATTGTAAAAATAAATAGAACCCGGAGTTTACTTACACCATACCACTGAGGATTGGGAGATAAGAGTCCACCTACATCATTTTTCATTTATTGTTGTTGTTGTTGAGTGCCACTGGGTCAGTTCCAACTCATAGCGACAGTATGATTATAGGATTTTGGAGGAGCAGCTAGTGGATTTGAACTGATGACCTCGGGTTTAGCAGTCCAGTGCTTATCCTACAGCACCACATCTTAATGTTGTTGTTGTTGTTAAGTGCTGTTGAGATGGTTCCAACTCACAGTGATACTGTATAGGGTTTCCAAGGAGCAGCTGGTGGGTTTGAACCACACCTTAATAGTTAGTGCTAAATTGTTGTTTCCTTTAAAATAGCATTGACAATCTCAAACACTTCTCCTTTGAAAATAATTTGCATTGTATAAAAACCATTAAATGGCAGGAAAGATGACAATCTCAGCTAAGACCTGAGTAAAGTTTTATGTGAGTATCAAAGACAGTGAGAAACAGAAAGTTGCAAGCACCTGCAGGGAGTCTTAGTGTTTGCAGAGTCCCTGCTTGTAGCTCAGAGATATGGACAGACTAAAAGGATAAAGCATAGTACTGAAAAACAAGTCTGAAACCATCATTTTAAATACTCTATTCACATGTTAATTATGTGAATAAGCACAGAAATGTTAAGTGAACCGTTCCTTCAGAAGTATGCCTGCTGACACCAACCCCCTCAACCTCTTGTCAGTTTTACAGCCATGGAGATCATAATCTAATAGGTACTAAAATTCTAACAGATCTACTTCTGTTAAGCACATACTACTAATGAATATAATCCCTGTCACTTGGTGTGTAAACACCCCTAAGTATACAGCATTGATATTTTATTCTAACTCCCTGAAAAGATTTAACCAACAAAAAGCTCTATAAAAATCATCATTACTGACAAGAAAACTTACTTCAAACAAAGATCAACAGATGGGAAGGTGTACCAACAGCAAAACACACATCATGCCAACCTGTGGAATCATTTCTTTCACATCTAGTGCTACTGAGTAAACGTGACTTTATGTGGCATTCTAAGCACAGTAACCTAGGTGGCAATCTATAATATTTATAATTGGGATAAAACCCATGTGGACTTAAAAGATCTGAAGGTGATCTTAAAGACAATTTAGGATAACGCCATCAGAAGAGGATGGAAACAAAAAGTCCCTGAAAGCTTAATGAACTAACTATTTAAAAACAAATCAAAACACTGCCATTGAATGGATTCCTCTCACAGCAACCCTGTATAGGATTTCTGAGGAAAAAAAGTAATGATTACAAACAACTGAGAGAATGCTGTTTTACCAAATACAAATTACGAAATCTGACAAGCTTCATCTCCCATCACATCTCCTTTTGAGCTCAAGAATGCACACAGAGAAAACTAGAAATTGGAATCTGCTACAGTTATTCTTTAAAACGCTGCACCTGCTTTTAAACACATTTATATGTGTGCTATGCATCGCATCTGCCTGACAATGCTAGACTCCCCAAATGTTTCTGAAGAAAAATAAAATAAGCATCTGCTAATAATAATTTTATTTCATCATAGTTTCATTTTGGGCTGCTGGGTGGGGGGAAAATGCCATATTATAGGAAGAATAAAACTATCTTCACAACTCTGCAGCAAACACATTTTAGAAAGTAAGTCTATAAATAGGTGTGTTTCTGTATGCAAGTTGTAAATATAAAATCATCAGACTGGCCGAAGCTGCAATGTGAATCCCCAACATGAACTTACCTGATTTTTAAGTCTCAATTTGAATCGCAGACAATCATCACAGTTAGCCTTTTGAAAATCGCATAGTGAGGCAAAACTCCCAACTACATTTTACTTATCTCAGCCTCATCTTTCATCAGAAGCAATAGTTTGCAATTTCATTCAGAAGCAGCCTTTTCTAAAGAGGCTCTGAATATGCACGGAAAACAGTAATGGAAGGAATCTAAGTTAAACCCTACACACACGCACCAAGAAAATAACAGCGCCAATACATACACAAAGCAGCAATTCCTTAAAGAATTTCTAACATAAAATGTTTGGGTTATAGAAGAGGATCTTACCTGAGCTGATCATACTGTGCATTCTTTGCTGAGCCAAGAGCTGCTCTCGTCCAGCCACCCCATCTGAGGAAAAACACAAGTCACTCTCGTAAATTGTCTGCAGCATATTCCAATCACTCTTACTTCAGCTGCATGAAAGATTCATCCTCCCCGTTCGGTACACCGGCCCCAGGAGCTACCCTCGCTGGTCCTCCCTCCTCCCTGAGGAGAAGCAGCAGCAGAGAAACCAACTTCGACAATGATTTCCTTTCTATGAAGCTGGACAAATACTTTTTAAAAGACCTGGGCACTTGCTACATTACCAACCTGTATGCAAAGCAGAAAGAACAGAGTGGATGCTAGCGCTCTCTGGAGTTTAGATTATCCCGGGAGCTAAAAGCAGGTGGGCAATAGGAATGTGCTTCGGGGTTATTTCTTTGTCAGAATAAGTAGAAAAATATTAACTCTACCCATGAGAAAAAAGAAACCGATTAAACCTGGCTTATATTTCTTCAGGCTGCTAAGATTTTGTTTCAAGAACCCTTAGTCCTGCAAGTGGCTCCCGCACCAGTGCCGCCTCCTATCTGTTTATGTGTGCGTCTCTCTTCCCCCTTTCTCGGTCTCTCAGCTCAAGTTGGCTAAAGCTAGTGATAATCCATTTGCATATGAATCAACAACAGCATGGCCCACAGGCACAGAAATAGAACAATGGTCGGCCTGAGCCAAAAATAGGTCAAGCATGGCCTAGTGATTGGAGGCTGCATTAATGCATTTAAAAATACCCTAGCAAACCCAGCTGTCCAGCCTCTATCTTTCAAACCATAATTCTCTATTGCTGGGCTTTCAAAGCAATTAACTCTTTCCTTCTTCCTAGCTTGCTTTGCACACTACGTTTCTATGCAGCTTCCAAAGAAAAGAAGGCAAGAAAAATTAAGAATCATAATTCAAAGAGGGCAAACGCACATACATTTCATTTCGTTTTATTTTTGTAGTATGTGTTTTTGGAAGAGAGCGAGCGAGAGAGCAGTGCAGAGCTCTGTATTGGTTCTAAAATAATACTGGAAGCTTTTGCTCATAATGTGGTTTCTGCCTCACCCACGCACAGCAATCCTGGTGTTCTATTTTTGTTGCCTGTTTCTCTGGCTACACTGCAGTTGGCTGTGGCACTAGAAGCTTTTCTGCCTTCTACTTTCAGGACTGACAGGAGATTTAGTAGAGGTAGTTTTGAAAACTAGCACACTCTAGAATAAAATGTTTATAAGGACTGACTTCATATTTTATCTGTCTTTTGCTATTTACATTAGGCATTTGTCCACTTCACAATCCTTATCACCGATCAAACTCTGCTGCATCTAACTCCTACCATATTGAACATTTTTTAAAAGTATTTTTTATTTTAACCTGAAAACCTGACTTCTATTTAAGCCTCTGGAGCTAACTTCAGTTTATCTGCCACAGGAAAAAAGCAAACAAGTATGTACCTTCTCAAGGATGGATGTGGAATGACTGAATATGCACACCTGTGGATCATTAAATATGTCAGTATTCAACTATGTATGTTCTATGTTCATCTCTACTTCTGTTATGTCGAGCACAGACCTCATTTTTCTATAGAAATTGCATTTCTGATAGTGGACAGTTTGACAGACCAGCTCATTTGTGGTATTCACCTAAGTAAATGAACTACAGTATATGATACTAAAAATTCTAAAGTCTCTGGAGTACATTCATGACATCATTTCTAGATGATAAATACATTCTGCATTCCAAATTAGAATGCCACCATCAAACCACCCCCAAAGGCAAATTCAAAAGTGCTAATCCACTCTTCATGAGAGCTCTGCTCTGTTTTATAAACTAGATCAGTAGGGAAACTGTAATTCTAAAATCATCAGTAACAACAGGAACAAAAGAGACAAATTAGATTGTTTCAAGGCTTTCAGAATAATCAGGTGGAAGAGGGATTTTGGTCAATCATGTGTAGGAAAATGGAAGAAAAAAGGAGTTGGGAAACCTCAAGGAAAAGAAAGAAAATGTTGATTCATCAGTTGGATAATCCCCGATGAAGAAAATGGCACTGCATTCCCCCATTTTTTCACAGATAAACCCCTACTGAATGTTTGCTTTCTTATGAAATTATTTAGATAAATAAGTTACAAGTTATAAAAAATAAGTTATCCCAAACTAAATTTACCTTTCATTAAACCAAAAACTGTATGCTCCTGTCAGTGAAAACAACCACCAAAAAACTAAGTGATTTCATCTGATAAGTACATTTTAAATTAGGAAGTCTGTGTGTAAAATTCATGGGTCTGAAATATTGTGAATATGACAATTCCCTTGTGGTTGATGTGTTTATGAAGTCAACAACCGTAACATATTTTTAACTTGCTTTTAATATTTTATTGTGCTCTCTGTGAAAGTTTATATAGCAAATTAGTTTTCTAATCAATAGTTCATACACTCATACACAAATTGTTCTATTATATATATATATACCGGAGCTCTGGTAGCGTAGTGGTTACGAATCAGGCTGCGAACTGCAAGGTCAGCAGTTCGAAACTACCAGCTGCTCTGCTGGAGAAAGATGAGGCGTTCTGCTCCCGTAAAGATTAACAGCCTCGGAAACCCTGTACAGGGTTGCTATGGGTTGGAACCGACTCCACAGCACACAACAACATATATATATATATACACTCACAAGGCTTGCACTATGTCAGCATTCTCTTATTTCCTCCCTGGGGTCCCTGTGTTTGTGACTCTGGTTTCCCTGTCCCTCCCTTCTCATATTTGGTTTTGGTGAAATGTTGCCCTTTTGGTCTCTTATGCTGATTATTCTAAGGAGAACATTCTTCGTGGGTGCTGTTTGCTTCATAGTCCCTTCCATGATTTAGCTAAAAGGTGACCTCCAAGAGTATATTCAGCTTCAAGTTAGAAGGTCATCTCAGGACAATAGCCATGGGGGTTCTTCTAGTCTCTTTCAGATCTGTAAATGTGGTCTTTTAAATACTTATTTTGAACTTTGTTTTCTATTTTTTACCCATTCTAACCAGGACCTTTTATCCTGGTCTTGGCTACAGTAGTTACTAAGTAGTAGCCTGGTACCATCTAGGTCTTCTCTTAGGTTAAGAAGAGGCTGTGTTTCATGTGAGTGATTACTTCTTTGAACTAATTGTTTCCTTAAGTCTTAGTTATTGCCTTTAGATGGCAACTCACAAGCTTTTAAGGTCCCAGACACTACTCACTAGTCTAGTATGTAGAGCATTATCATTACGAATCATAACCTAGATGACTCTAAGGCTATGGTCATTAAACTTCAAGTTCAATGGTTCAGTCCCAATGTCTAGGTAGTTTCTATAATTGTGCCCCCATATGTGAACTATAATATTACAAATATATATGAAGATATACCTACCATTATACCTATATATTTTGTAGATGTATACCTGTATGACCTTCCTCACATATTTAGAATATATTTTTGCTTACATTATCATTGTTGTTAAGTGCCATCAAGTCAGTTCTGACTTACAGTGACATGTATAGGGTTACTAGAGAGAAGATGGTGAGTTTGAACCACTGACCTTGTGGTTAGCAATTCAGGGCTTGTCCTATAGCACCACATAATAAATTATTGTTGGTCATTACTGCTGTCGCATGATTGTATATGTGATACATTTACTATGGTGTTACTTTTGTTAAGTGTCAATGAGTGGGTTCTGACTCATAGTCACCCTATATCGGATTTCCTAGGCTGTATTACGAATTGGGCTGCGAACCTTAAGGTCAGCGGTTCGAAACTACCAGCAGCTCCGCGGGAGAAAGATGAGGCTTTCTACTCCCGTAAAGAGTTACACCCTCGGAAACCCTGTACAGGGTCGCTATGGGTCGGAACCGACTCGACAGCACTTAACAACAACAACAACAAATCTTTACAGGTGTCCTGGTGTGGTGCTGTGGGTTAATGTGTCAGACTGCAAAGTCGTTTGAACTGCAAAGTTGGCAGTTCAAGCTCACCAGATGCTCCTTGGAAATCCTATCCAGGGTCACTATGGGTCGGAATCAACTCCACAGCACTTAACAACAACAACATATCTTTACAAAAGTAGAAAGCCTTATCTTTTTCCTGTGGACTAACTGGTGGGCTCGAACTGCCAACCATTTTGTGAGCAGTCCAGTGTTTATCCAATAGAGCCACAGTGCTTCCAACATTTACTATTGCTTTCTCCTTATTCTCCTATAATTCTGTGTCTTCCTTTGCCTTGATCACCTTATGCTGATTTCCCCCATATTGTCTACTGCTTTTTCCTTTACAAGAATTAACTTGATTCTACTATCTAGTTTGTGATTTTTCTTCCATTCCATTTGCCTCCTTGATAATCATCAAAGAAAATTTATTTCTGTTTATAAAGCTATTAACTCAGCATAATATCTTCTAGATTCATCCATATTGTGGTATAATCATCATCATTCTTTACAAGTGGGTAGTATTCCATTGGATATATCTACTCAAGTTTGTTTATTCATTTATCCATTGAATGGCCACATAGGTTAATTCTACCATTTTTCTGTTGTCAATAGTGATTTAATGAACATGAATGTGCATATGTCTATTTGTGGCACCACTCTTCTTTCTCTAGGACATATACTTAGGGGTGGGAATGCTAGACTACATGATATTTTGAATTCTAGTTTTTTAAGGAAGTGCATATGATTTTCTGCACTCAACCACAGCATTTTAGACCTGGAAGGATCTATAACATAGTTCAAACTAGGTTCCTTAAAGAATCAAATTACCTGTGAGTTACCTCACAGACTCTTCCAAAGAAGGTTCTCCTTCTAACCAGGACAGCCCCATGGTTTACCTGTTTATATTTGGCTAAGATTTCTATACTTTTCCATTATAAATACCATTTTAAACAGCATAAGTGAATGTTATACATATGGACCTCACTAGATGGAATACAGAGGAATCAAACTGACTACATCTGTGGGAAGAAACAATGGAGAAGCTCAATTTCATCAGCCAAAATAAGGCCAAGGGCCAACTGTGGAACAGATCATCAGCTGCTCCTATGCAATTTCAGTCTGAAGCATAAGAAAATTAAAACAACTCTATGAAAAACAAAATATGATCCTGAATCGGCTGCAGTTGTTGTTAAGTACTGGCAAGTCCGTTCTGACTCATTGTGACACTGTACAGGGTTTCTGAGGAGTGGTGAGTGGATTTAAACTACTGGCCTCGCAGTTAGCTGTCCATTCCTTTTCATACAGTGCCACCTGAATCAAGAGACTATCTGAAGAACAGAGTTGATGCACTGGACACTAATGACTAAAGACCAGAAGAGTTATGGGTGACATCAAGAGCATCATACATGAAGAAAGCAAAAGGTCATTTTAAAGACAAGAAAGAAATAAAAGACCAAAATGGATGTCAGAAGAGACTCTAAAAACTTGCTCTTGAATGTAGAGAAACTAAAGCAACTGAAAGAAAGATGAAGTAAGAAAAATGAAAATATAGTTTCAAAGGGAAGTTAAAGAAGAAAAAGTCAATTATGAAATGTGCAAAGACCTGGAGTTAGAAAACCAAAAGGGAAGAAGATGCTTAGAT